TGGCAGGCACAGCACTTTGTGAACCTCCATGTGCAGATTTCGTGGCAGGCACAGCACTTTGTGAACCTCCATGTGCAGATTTCAAGTTACATTAGTGGCAACTGAGGTTGGATTAATGCCATCTGGGGCTGAAAGCTCCACTACCAACCATGCCACAGGAACCGTGTCACCATGCATGGCCACAGTGAAAACAGCAAAGCAGCTCTCAATGTTTGCAAAAATTGGCTCAAGAGAAAGCAGCTCTCAACGTTTGCAAAGCACTTTCTGGAAAGCACTTTTTTGGAAGATGCTCCGGTTTCTTTCTGTATAAGAGTATGCCGACCACCACCAAAAACTCCACTGTTTGGAAACCTAACATGAAAACTGCTTTGTGCCATCGTCACCTTTGAGCGCCTGCCTGCCTATCTTTATGGCTTCATGTGTACATATGTGTACATACCGTTGTCTTCAGTTTGTAACATTTCCAGGATATATACAAAAAAGAGGAGCACATGACAATCACAGACAGAGGTAGGTAGAATAGAATAAGTGGAATAGGTAGGCTAGAATATATATATATAGGTCGAATAGTAGAACCGCCCACCGCATCCCCCCTGGCAATGGCTGTGAAGGCCAGTCACCACCTTAGAGCCGTTGGCGAGCTTGGGCGCATGCCATCTCTTGTTGGAGGCCATCTGTAGGTTGGAGGCCATTTGTAGGTTGGAGGCCATCGATAGATTGGAGGCCAATAGATTGGAGGCCATCAATAAGTTGGTGGCCATCGACAGGTTGGAGGCCATTGATGTAGGCTGGAGGCCATTGCTATTGGACACTGCTATTTAGGTTGGAGGCCATCGCTAGTAGGTTGGTGGCCATGCCTCTTAAAGTTGAGGCCATCGATAGCAGAGGCCATCAAAGTTGAGTGTGGAGGCCATGGCTTCTAGGTTGGAGGCCATTGCTTCACAAAGCTTAGGCCATGGCATGCCTGCTTCCTTCCTTCTGTGAAGGTGCGGCCTCAGACCGGGGGTGAAGCAGGCAGGGTGCCAGGCAACCCAAAACCCATGGTTCCCGATTCACAGGTAACCCCAACTCAGGCATCTTTTCAAACAAGCATAAGCCAATCCCCTTGGCAAAGCTTCCCAAACTAACTCGCAGTGCCAGAATCCATTTCGTTGAACACAACATGAGATCCGCCCAAACAAGACAACATTTTAACACATTGTTCAAACACATACACATCAATCACTTCTGGACGCCAGCACGGCTGGCTAAATAATTGGCACGGGTGTCGCTTT